AATGTGGGCTCCAGAACTTGGAGTGTTGAAGCCATGTGAATTAATCCCATGAGAGATTAATTTGATTAAGTTGTGTTTGATTCGCCTTGATTCCCTACATATTCATTGGCGGTAAAACATATTAAAAATACACTTTACTTTACATCTCTGTGCATATTCGGGTGTTTCATTCAATAAGCATTCTGGAGACATCAAGGAACATTATGTTACCTTAAAGGAATATATACTTATGTTTAAAATGCATAAAGAAGGTATTTCTAATTTCTAATTATGCTGCGACCAAACAAAGTTATTTCACTGTGACATGGGGAAGAACACACATACATAAAAACCATTGAAAATATTTTGAGACATTCAGAGACATTCGGCACATTCCGATGTGTCGAAGTCTTGTAACAGAAGTCTCCCTCGTGTGTGGGGGGAAGGGAAGGGCTTGTGTGTGTGTGTGTGTGTGTTCCAGTCCTGGGGGAGGATTGAGTCGCCTGGCAAAAGTCCTTACAACTAGTACTTAATAAAATAGATACTAGTATCTAAAAAATAAGTACTAGTAGCATGAAAATAGAGACTAGTAGGTTAAAATTATTAAATGTTAAAACGACTTGCCATAGTTAAATGTTAAAATGGCTTGCCATATCTATGTGTCTGTGCCTGTCTGAGTGTGTGTGTGTGTGTGTGTGTGTGTGCTTGTGTGTGTGTGTGTGTGTGTGTGTGTGTGTGTGTGTGTGTTTAGGGGGAGGGGGGCTAGATTAACCATTTCACTGCTGTGTGGCTTGGCCTGCATTAAAAAAGAAAATAAATGTCTTAAGTCTTGTATTTTTTAAATAAGTTTTATTAAATAAAGTAAAGGCATTTAACCAGTTTATATAATTAGTTTATTAATTAAATTAACTTGGTCCATAAATCAAACACACTTGCATGTAATAATATGAAACTCAGTACACATATACACCTCATCGGGCCAAACAACTTTTGTGCTCAAAGTTTTAAGCCAGCCCGACAGGAAGTTGTCTATTTTGGTCTGAATGTGGATGTTTTTTCTGTCGATATTGGAACATGAGTGAAGTACAAAGCCTATAATAAAGAATATTTTAGCATCCAAATACATCAGTAAGGGCTTTCACCACCAGCACTGGTGCCCCCCAAGGGTGCGTTCTCTCCCCACTGCTCTTCTCCCTGTACACTAACGACTGCACTTCTAAAGACCCCTCTGTCAAGCTCCTGAAATTTGCCAACGACACCACTGTCATCGGTCTCATCTGAAACGGTGACGAGTCTGCTTACAGACTGGAGGTTGAACGGCTGGCTGTCTGGTGCGGTTATAACAACCTTAGGCTGAATACGCTCAAAACAGTGGAGATGATAGTGGACTTCAGGAGGAACAGCCCAGCATTTCCCACACTCACCATCATGAGCAGCACTGTGGAAGCAGTGGAGTCATTCAGGTTCCTGGGCACTACCATCTCTCAGGACCTGAAGTGGGATAATCACATCGACTCCATTGTGAAAAAGGCCCAGCAGAGACTGTACTTCGCCAGCTGAGGAAGATCAACCTGCCACAGGAGCTGCTGATTCAGTTCTACTCAGCCGTCATTGAGTCTTTTCTATGCACATCCATCACTGTCTGGTTTGGTTCTGCTACCAAATCAGACATCAGGAGACTGCAACGGACAGTCCAGACTGTGGAGAGGATTATTGGTGCCCCCCTGTCAACCCTCCAGGACCTGTACTCTTCCAGAGTGAGGAAGAGAGCAGGTAAAATCATCACAGACTCACCCTTGACACCACCTGTTTGAACTGTTACCGTCAAGACGGCGATTCAGATCACTGGAACAGATCACTTTTGTGATCACACAAAAACATCTCGGCACAGGAACAGTTTCTTCCCACAGGCCATTTCCCTCCTGAATAGTTAACACATTTCCCAAGGCATATGCCTTAAGTGCAATACTCCCACTGTTTACTGCAATATCTTAAACTCAGGTGATATTAATGTGTAGATTTATTTATAATATTCAAAACACTGTAAATATGTTCATAATCTGTAAATGTTTATTCAGACTAAACACAACTGTGATACTTTTATTCCAATGTAGTCTCATCCCAAGGCATCATCTAACTGACCATTTTGACCATGCTTCAATATCCGACGATTTAGGCACCCTTTAGCATTAGTTACATGACTCCATCCTAGGGTGTCATCTAACTGATGCTAAAGGGAAAGGGTCAGTTAGATGATGCGGTTAGGTTTAGGTCTGGGGTAGGGTAAGGGTTAGAAGCGATCCTAGGGCGTCATCTAACTGATGCTAAAGGGAAAGGGTCAGTTAGATGACGCGGTTAGGTTTAGGTCTGGGGTAGGGTTAGGGTTAGAAGTGATCCTAGGGCGTCATCTAACTGATGCTAAAGGGAAAGGGTCAGTTAGATGACGCGGTTAGGTTTAGGTCTGGGGTAGGGTAAGGGTTAGAAGCGATCCTAGGGCGTCATCTAACTGATGCTAAAGGGAAAGGGTCAGTTAGATGATGCGGTTAGGTTTAGGTCTGGGGTAGGGTAAGGGTTAGAAGCGATCCTAGGGCGTCATCTAACTGATGCTAAAGGGAAAGGGTCAGTTAGATGACGCGGTTAGGTTTAGGTCTGGGATAGGGTTAGGGTTAGACGCGATCCTAGGGCGTCATCTAACTGATGCTAAAGGGAAAGGGTCAGTTAGATGACGCGGTTAGGTTTAGGTCTGGGGTAGGGTTAGGGTTAGAAGTGATCCTAGGGCGTCATCTAACTGATTCTAAAGGGAAAGGGTCAGTTAGATGATGCGGTTAGGTTTAGGTCTGGGGTAGGGTAAGGGTTAGACGCGATCCTAGGGTGTCATCTAACTGATGCTAAAGGGAAAGGGTCAGTTAGATGATGCGGTTAGGTTTAGGTCTGGGGTAGGGTAAGGGTTAGACGCTATCCTAGGGCGTCATCTAACTGATGCTAAAGGGAAAGGGTCAGTTAGATGACGCGGTTAGGTTTAGGTCTGGGGTAGGGTTAGGGTTAGAAGTGATCCTAGGGCGTCATCTAACTGATGCTAAAGGGAAAGGGTCAGTTAGATGATGCGGTTAGGTTTAGGTCTGGGGTAGGGTAAGGGTTAGACGCGATCCTAGGGTGTCATCTAACTGATGCTAAAGGGAAAGGGTCAGTTAGATGACGCGGTTAGGTTTAGGTCTGGGGTAGGGTTAGGGTTAGAAGCGATCCTAGGGTGTCATCTAACTGATGCTAAAGGGTGCCTAAAGCGTCGGACATTGAAGCATGGTCAAAATGCTTCCCAAAGCATCAGTTAAATGACGCCTTGGGATGAGAATGGGCTGTTCATTCTCATGATATATATATAAATATTATATATATACTGTATACATATATATATATAATTTGTATTACTATGTTTCTTGTTGTATTTGTATATGTGCACTGATAGCCTCAGTACCAAAACAAATTCCTTTTCACTCCACACTTCACAAACAAGCTCTTTCTGATTTATTTATTTATTTGCTTTAATTTTTCTAAAATGAATAAAGATAGAGTTGGAATATTTTTTGTTGTTTTTTTAAGTCTCCTGAAGACAAAGAAAAGGACGTTCCTCAGGCACCCTTTACTAATAATGGTCGCAGTGATAGTGACATCATAGGCTGTCGCTGGCCAATACAATTGACCCTTCGCTAAGCCCCGCCCTCCCTAGTTACTGTTGCTACGCCTGTCAAGCTTTCGCGGCTGGCCCATCTATTATAGTGTGGATGCACCCGGTATCAGACATTTCAATGAGATAATTAGTAATTTTCGGCGAACAAGTGAAATATCTGAGAGAGCAAGACAAAAGGCACTACAGTATGCATTCGAGGGATATATTCACGACATTATATGCAACCGATTAGAGAATAATTTCTTAAATTGAAGTTAAAGTCCCAGCGCAAGCAGCAGCGCCTCATACGCTGACCGTTCAAATGGGAAACACAAATTGAGGAACAGCTATGTTCATACACAGCAGGGTATGTGAAAATAATCTTAATAATTATAAATCAAACAGCTTATCAATAAATCTTGTGGAATAACACTAATACCGGGAGAGCCGCGATCGGATTGGGTTAAGTTACTTAGTAAGGGATAACGTTAGTAGGACGTCGATTAACAAAATGCTGAAATATATTTTAAAGTATTTCAGTGAGCCTTTGTCTTGTCTCTTTAATCGTCTTATTTTACGTTATATCATTATGACCAAAGAACCGTCAATATTTCCAAGCAATAACGTTAGATGTTTTTGTTAAGCATGTCGACATTTACCAGTAACGCTAGTTGTGAATGGGTCTCGCACATAGATGCTAGATTACGCCAATCATTTCTCCCCTTGGCTTTTAGATTTTCTGGAAGGAAAACAATTCCTCTCCCGCGTCCAAACTTTTAGTATACCGGTATCACGCACAATGCTTAAGCATGTTTCCCTCGTTCGAAAGCTTGCCAGACCTCCCGCGCATAGTTACGGTTGCTAAGACATGATTGGCCAGTGGCGGTTTTCGGGCGTGGCTTAGCGAAGGGTCAATTGTCGCATTTATAGTGCTTCACACAACAATCATGCTGAAGCATTTCCAATAGCGTCTTGTCAGATGCAATGCGAGTTCCCACTCGAAAGGGAGTGTGTTTTTTATAGATAATAAAAGATAATTTAGTAAGAAAAACACACACAAAAGTATTTGGTTGTTTGTTATATTTACACAGCGCATTTATGGGTTTTGGTTCTTTTGCTGTAGACTTTTTTTTAAATAACTGAAATATAAAATATATTTGATATTAAATAAAAACATTTATGTTTTATTTTGAATTGAAAAGAAAAAAGTAAAACAAATCAGTTTATATTCACCTGAAATTAAATTAGTTTGTTAACTTGAATTTTGTAAGGCACTATATTCGGGCTAAATAACTAATTCTGTTGAACTATAAATTGAGTGCACTCTGAGAGATTTTGTCGCTATCTAATTCTCACTTTATTCTGCCATTGAAAACAGGTTGAATTCTTGTCATATCACTGAGGAAGGTTTTGCTGATCTGAGTTCAGCTCTGAGATCAAACCCGTCTCATCTGAGAGAGTTGGACCTGAGTGAGAATGACATTGGTCATTTGGGATTGAAGCAGCTTTCAGATATACTAGCCGATCATCAGTGTAACCTACAGAAACTGTGGTACCTTTTTTGTTCTGACATCAATAGTTTATTGATCAGATTGTTTGACTGGACCCCCCCCCCCCCTCCCAAAAAAAGAAAGAAAAAAATATAATATAAAATACCTCATATATCCTTTGCAATAAGTTATTGTTAAATGCAGTTATCAATCAACTTTGCATGCACACTTAAGTCACCACAAACAATGCCCTCAAGTGTCTGATTTGTAACTATCCCCTCACACTTACAGGTTGATATCTTGTCAAATTGAAAATGAAAGCTGTGCTTTTCTGAGTTCAGCTCTGAGATCAAACCCGTCTCATCTGAGAGAGCTGGACCTGAGTGGGAATGACATTCAATATTCAGGAATACAGCAGCTTTCATATCTACTCACTGATTTTCAGTGTAAACTGGAAAAACTGAGGTGCGTTTCTAAATCTGGTATCTTGTAAATCTGGCACATGGATCTGTGTGGTTAAAAGCCTGACAATTGCTGTTTGTCTGCAAGATTATCGCATTCTCTCTGAAAACAGTATGTTTCTTTCAAATGTACAGGTTAATATGTTGTCATTTTAGTGACATGAGTTGTGCTGTTCTGAGTTCAGCTTTGAAATCAAACTCGTCTCATCTAAGAGAACTGGACCTGAGTGGGAACTACATTTCAGGATTGAAGAAACTTCCATCTTTACTAAAATGTTCTCAGTGTAAACTGAAGAAACTGGGGTGAGTTTCACTTGTTTATATATATATATATATATATATATATATATATATATATATATATAATGAGTTTTAATGATGACTGAAGTTACCTATTAGTTATAATTAACATGTTAGATCTTTTCCTATGTCTAGTGACACAAAGGTCAAAAGGAAAATCACATGAAGTTAGACCAACATGAATTGGGTATTATAAGAAATATTTAACATGCTTTTTTATACACACAGGTTGAGATCTTGTTATCTCAGTGACAAAGCTTGTGCTGATCTGAGTTCAGCTCTGAGATCGAACCCGTCTCATCTGAGAGAGCTGGACCTGAGTGGGAATAAAATTAAAGATTCAGGAATGAAGCAGCTTTCAGCTCTACTGAAACATCCTCAGTGTAAACTGGAGAAACTGTGGTGAGTGGAGTGTTCTTTGTGAAATTACCTGTGATTGCTGGATGACATACTAGTGTAATGTTAATATGATAAGAAATTAACTTTTGTCATATTAGCACTCGAATGATCTAATGCCTGCAGACATAAAGTGCATTATAATATAACTGTTACAAAATATTATAAAACGGTTAGTTCGAATCCTTGATTCTGATTGGTCAAGAGCTGTGCTTTATTCAGGATAAAACACGGCTATGACCGCTTCACCCAACGGTTCTATTGATTGCTGCACAACACTGCGGTTCTATGTTGTTTTTAATTGAGCTTTCATGCATTTTACACATTGAAGCATTGTTGCTGTTCACGCTCAGGGACTATTTTTTCTAGCGGAAGGAAGGCTTTTAGTGATTTTACTTCAAGAAAGTTGCACTAATACATTGTTTTTTACTTTAATATTGTGTGGCAACCGTTTTATAAAAGCAATAAGTTACTCGAGGCAAGTGCTGTATCGTGAATAAGTAACGGCTGAAGGGGTTACTCCGTATATATATATATATATATATATAGATATATATATATATATATACAGACAGTATATGAGGAACACATACCTAAAAGTTGTTGTGATTTATTTACAACAAAAATATATTAGAAAGAAGTTTATAGTTAAAGTCAAGAGAAAATATAGAAAGAGAGTTAATCTACCTTGGTTTAGTGACAACTTGAGGCCAATGATGAAGTCTAGAGACTCTGCTTTAAAGAAAGCAATAAGGACTAGAAGAGATACAGATATTTTAATTTATAAAGGTTTGAGGAATAAAGTGGGGAAGGAATTAAGATTAGCCAAATCACATTTTTATCTCCAAGTAATCAATGAGGCTAAAGGAAATAGTAAAGAAATCTGAAGAGCAATGAGTAATTTTCTTTGATTCTGTTGTCATTGCTGCACTTGTGGATCTCACACACGCGTCCCGTTTTCTCACAACTCTAAACTAATTTAAGACTGCTGGATACTCAACAAAACGGACATTTGGGCATAACTGTTTGTTATTATTCGTTCAAGCACGAAAGAGAAGTCGATTCTGGCGAGCGATGTACGTCGTCCTGTGTCAGCAGGACATTCACAGACAGCGTGTTCTCTTTTGTCTTTTTGTGGTTGCATGGTTTAAAAGCATTTGCATTAATAAGGACGTGATTATGTAAAGCTAGCCAAAAGATGACAGAAAAAAAAAACGAATGCTGCGTTAATTGTGTTTAAATATTTTTAACGCGTCGCCCCCATGTCATCCAAGATGTCCATGTCTTTCTTTCTTCAGTCGAAAAGAAATTAAAGTTTTTGATGAAAACATTCCAGGATTTTCTCCATATAATGGACTTCAATGGGGTCCAAACGGTTCAAGGTCCAAAAGACAGTTTCAGTGCAAACTGTTCAAAGGGCTTTAAACGACACCAGACGACGAATTGTACAGGCAAAGCTCACGTTGCAGTCTTTTCTAATGTAGACAGGATACATTATTGGTTACAATCAATCTTTTACATGTTATTAAAGAACAGTAATAGATCATAACGGAGTCGACCAAAGTATAAACAATTTTATTGACACAGGAACGCTAGATCAGCATCTGTTTTGCAAGATTCAATGTACTTTAGCTCTTGTCATTCTGTAAATGCACGACCAATATTTATTCTTGTGCTGTCCCTCGCTCAGTCTACAGCTTCCTTCCTCTCCCTCACCTCCTCCGCCGAGTACGTCTCCTTTTTCTTTTCACTGGAGCTTGTGAAGCATTATCCATCGTCACGTGTTCTTTTACCTAATATTGAGCTTGAGAGGGGCGTGTGTGTTTCGAATTCCCGTAAAGCAGTTCGTGTTTCTCGCTTGTTCTCGCTTCTCATGAGACTTCCTATTTCCAATTTAACGTGACGGTAGTCCTCATGTTGCAAGGCTGGTTTTCCACCAGGGAACGCTGGGGGGAGCGGGGAAAGTCACCATTCTCACCAGAACTGGTTATTTAGACTTCCAAGTGATTTCTAAATGGATTTATTAAGTTGAAAAAGTTGCCAAGTGCTGCTTTAAACTGAAAAACATTAATAGCACGCATTACCATTGACAGCAGCACGGACATAACCGACGTGTATGTGAAAACACGGCAAGATGGACATTGTGACAATGTTTCGTGTGTATTTGACCGTAAGCGCAACAAGCCATGAAAAAGAGGCAGCTTTATGTGTGGACGCACTGGGAATGAAGCACAAGAATTAAATCATGCGCAACCCCCGCAATTCAACGAATGCCGAAAACTTATGATTTGCATTCTTTATTATAAATTTGTGTGCATTATTTGTTGTTATTAGACACTTCTAATGATGCGAGATTGATGTAACCCTAACCTAACCCTACACATTTATATATACATATATATATATATATATATATATATATATATATATATATATATATATATATATGTTGGGGCATAGCCAGGACATTATTTCTGGGGGGCCAGCTTGTGCCAGTCTTTTATTTGGGGTGGCACTTCATTGTCAAAAACTACTATTACTAAAACTCACGTCCGGCTCGTCGTCAGGCCATACACAATGGATTGAACTCCCTTATGACACTAATAATGTCTAATTGATAAATGTGCGTGTGCAATGTCATTATGTGAGGGGTTAGGGACCTTAACATGAGACAGGGATGTTTTTAGTGCAAATGACCGAAAGACACAATATGAATTGTCATATTAGGCGATAATTTATTTAGGTAAACCATTGCATTTTAAGTGCAACATCCAATTTATTTGTGATAATACAACAGGTTACAACGGTTGCACAAATCATGACTAGATCATGTAGTAACACTTGAGTCATTACTACCAATGATCTTCACTTTATAATATGGATCCAAATAATTAGTAATTCCCACAGAAGTATCTAGTAACACTTTCATCTGTGAGCTATTACTTACTAATTCGTTAATAAGAGTTTATTTTAGTTAATAGTAGTTACTAGATTATTTTTTTTTGCTCAAACTTTTTTATTAATACAAATGATATTACAACACAATAGATTACAAATTATTAACACTTTTCTTTTTTTCACATAAAAAACTAAACATAAAAAATAAATAAATAAAAAAATAAAAAAATGAATAAAAATAATAAGAAGAAAAAAGAAAAAAAATATCTATATACACACACACATATATATACTGTATATATACTAATACACATATAAGAAAATGGCATACATGAGTGCGCACAGACACATTTAATCATGTATTAACCAGGAGGTAGGGTTTTAAGAGATTTAAAGTAGGCTATAAAGGGATGCCATTTACTGAAGAAGTTGCTCTTACGAGAACATCAAATTTTTTCCAGTTTCAGAAAGAACATAGTATCCACTAACCATTGGGAGGTTGCTGGAGGCTTATTAGATTTCCAGTGGAGCAAAATACGGCGTCTAGCTAACAAGGAGGTAAAAGATATAACGTCAAGTTGTTTGGAATTAAACTGAGACCAGATTTTTGGTACACCAAAGATTGCTATGGTGGGGCAAAAACATCAATTCTAATTTTTAGCACTTTAGACATGGTTGTAAAATAACTGACCCAATAATTTTGCAACATAGGACAACATATGACTCAAATTGCACAGGTGCATGAGGTGCATGACATCTGTCACATCTGTCTTCAACGTTGGGAAATATTTCCGATAGCCTGGCCTTAGAAAAATGAATTCTGTATAGTACTTTAAATTGTATGAGGCCAAGACGTGCACAAATTGTACTAGAGCGTATTCTGTCCAGAGCGCCTGCCCACCAATCCTCTTCAAAACTTTCCCCTAACTCCCCCTCCCACGCTCTTTTAATTCTGTCAAAAGAACAATCACTTAGACCTAAAAGACAACCATACATTTTTGAAATTTGTGACTTGTGATACGGATTGAGTTGCAGAAACTCTTCCCACACTAGCAGCGGGGGCAGAGATGGGAACCTAGAGAATAAGGTAAAGTGTCTAAATAAATAAAGTGTCTGATCTGCAAGAAACGATACACGTGGGACTCTAACAACTCCAAATCAGAGGATAACTGTACATAACTACAAAATGTACATATCTCTATACAGGTCTTGGAAACATCTCAAGCCTTTTGCGTGCCACTGCTTAAATACAGGATCAGAAAGAGATGGAGGAAATATATGATTTTCCAATAGTGGCATCAATGTTGAGGCAGAATTGAATTTAAAATGTCGCCTAAATTGGCACCACACGAAGTGTGGATACAACAATTGGATTATGAGTCAATGACACCGAAGAGACATTACAGGATAAGGGTGAAGTAAGCAAAGCCAATGGAGAGGTAGATATACACGAATTTGCTTCCAATCTGCACCATGTTGTAGTGGACGAACTAAGCCAAAATGTTATCTTGTGAATATTTACTGACCAATAGTAAAACATAAAATTAGGTAAGGAGAGTCCACCATTCAGATGGCATCTTTGAAGCAACGGTTTCCAAATTCGGGGCACTTTACCACCCCACAAAAAGTCAGACACAATCTGGTCAATAGATTTAAAAAACTTTTTAGGAAGAAACAAAGGAATGCACTGAAAAACAAAAAGAAACTTAGGCAACACATTCATTTTTACTGCATTAATCCGACCTATCAAAGATAGAGGCAGATTACTCCACCGCTGAAAATCAGACTTGGCTTGTTCTAGCAGAGGGTGAAATTACCAGATACAAGAGAGGACATCGAATGAGTGATATTGATACCAAGGTATCTGAATCCTGATCTGCTTAATTTAAATGGAACATCTGACTGCAAAAGGCCCTTAGCCAGTGCATTAATCGGGAAACACTCACTTTTGTGGATATTTATTTTGTATCCAGACAAAGAGCCAAATTTTTGCAACATGGATAAAATAACTGGAACATTTTGAATTGGATTGGAAACATATAATAATAGATCATCTGCATATAGTGATAATTTAATTTTAATGCCTGACCTCACCACTCCCTGCAGTA